AGTAAATTACTCACTATAATTATAATTGTAAAATTGAGTTACACAATTTAATCACATTTCTCTAATCAATCAATTAATCAATTAATTATAATTTACCAATTACTAATAAAAAATTTTAAAAAATTTTTCTAAATTAAATTTCTAAAAGAATTGGAAATCTGCTTTGCAGAGCAGATTTCCATGCATTTCCAATTTTTGTTTCCAATTTTTGTCTCGATCAGCTTCAGGAAATCTGCATGGAGATTTCCAACTCTTGTTTAAGTCAGCCATGCTGACCGAAACATGCAGGCAATCTGCAGAGCAGATTTCCAACTCCTGTTTTGGTCAGCCATCTTTGCAATTTTAGAACTATCGTCAAATCGGTCAAATCGGTTCAGGTTTTTATTTCGGTCAATATTTATGACCGAAATAATAATATTTTATTTATTAATATTTAATTCTAAAAAAATATAGATATATATTTTTTATTTTTATTTAGTCAGTTTTCTTGACCAAATAAATGGGTTGGCAACATCGGTCAAGACACTTGACTGATTTGTTTCGAAACCAATTGGCGCCAAATTAATTCGGTCAAGATACTTGACCGAAATAAAATGGGACCAAATTGTAAGCTTTTTTTCCATTATTTTTGGTCAATTTTAATTTTCGGTCATTGAATTTGTCCAAATTAATTGTTTTTTCGGTCAAAAAATTGTTTGACCAAAATATCCTGACTGAAATGGTCAAATTTCTAGTGGTGTCCTTTCCAACTCCTCTCTACTAGGAAGCAAAAAAACAATATGAGATTAATTCCGGTGAAAATAATGCAATCACGATCCTCAAATTTGTTCTTTAACTATCATATTTCTAATGATCAATAATTCTCAACTCACTAAATTTTCCCGAGAAAAAGGAAGCAAGAAAAATCATGGGAAAACGCCTGAAAATCTGCTGTGCAGTCTCAGCAATTTTCTTGATCATTATCTTAGTAACACTACTTGTCTTGTTCTTCACCGTCTTTAAATCCAAAGAACCCATAATCAGCCCTCTTCCGGCAACGCTAACCTACCTTGAACCCGAACTACCACCACCGGAGATAACACTAAATGTGTCGTTAGCAATAACCGCCACCGTTGACAACAGAAACTACGGCGTCTTCAAGTATGAAAACAGCACTGCTTACATCAACTATCACAAGGAGGTAATCGCAGCGGCTCCGATCTTAGAAGGCCGGATTAGTGCTCGTAGCAAACAAAACATTACTACAACGGTTGATGTCCTTTTGGCAACGGTCAATGAGTTATCGAATCCAGTTAATATCTGGATTGATTACAACAACGGGGTCTTCAACCTCACTTCATCGACAACAATGCATGGGAAGGTGAGCCCGTTAAACATGATCAAGATATATAAAAGCCACCAGTCTTTGCACATGTGACATCTCCATCTTTATTAATGAATTTCAACATCAAATCCGTGCCATTGAATCCATTTGTAAATCTAAAATCAAGTTATAATTGTTGGGTGCAGTTTCTAAATGGTAAAACCGCAGTCATTAGATAATGACAGACATCTACATTGTAAAACCATACTCACAATTTCTAAATTATAAAACTACAGTAATTAGATGACAGCCTGCATTTGCACTGTAGACTACATGCATGATGCATGGAGTGGGAAGACATGGATTTCTTCAGTCAAAAATTAATTTTAGTTGGTTATGATCAATCCCTTCGAAATAGGTTTGATTGCATAGATGAATTTTGGTGTGTTAATTGAGTAAGTTAAGCTTGAGTATTAATAGAGGTAAGGTGAACACATTTATTTTGAACAATTATCATTCAACCCCCATTCTGGCCCATTTAGTGCATGCTTCCCTCCTTTTATCTCAGCAGCTTCAATATATTAAATGAATGTTCTTCATCTCTCAGACTAGTGATATTCTCCGT